TTTATACATGGCATGTGCCTAATTACCCTAACCTGACTAGTTAACCTAATTACCCTAGTTAAGCCTTTAAATGTCACTTTAAACTGTAGAGAAGTGTCGTGAAAAAGATCTAATCCAATATTATTGACTGTCATAATAGCAAAGATGAATCAGTTATTAGAGATGAGTTATTAAAACTCTTATGTTTAGAAATGTGTTAAAAAAATGTTAAACAGAAATTGGGGGAAAATTTACGGGGGGGTTAATAATTAAGGGGATTTAATAATTCTAATTGCAACTGTATATATAAAAAAGGCTCCATAAAACTTCACAAGTTCATATATCCATAAATATTTGTTATGGATTATGTATTATACATTGTTATGTATTATAACTATTTTTTCTATGCCTGCCAGTCATTAGGTAGGGTACAGTGGGACCAAAAGTTACATGGGATGAAAGTAACAAATCGATTATTTCCATGCCCTGACAACATTCACTTTCCAGCATGCAACTCTTGATGGAGCTGCCAAATTTCAGAGCCGTGTCCTGTGGTTCAGAATTTCTGTTTGTAAGAGCGAAAAGTAAATTATTGTAGTGTTTCTTTTTTCCTTATTACAAGTTGGGTTTCTCTTTTCATGCATTACAGTAATGATCAATCTACAGGTTATCTAATACAGTAACACATTCTTAATTTGAAATGTCTGAGTTTTTCACTCAAAAGTAAATCAAGTTTAATGGCAAGAGTTCCTGTGGGGACGAAAGTAACATTGTTATTTATGTAGCATTGATAATAGACACCCTTATTTTTCACTTCCACATTAGAGTTTGCAGTGTTTGGATTCAGATCTTTAATAAAATTAATGTATTTTGCCAATAATCATAAAAAAATATTCAAAAATTGTAGAAAATTGAAACATTTTGCATTGTTGCATTGCTTTTGAACCATTAGATGAAAGTGAAATTTAAAATAAAAATGCAGTTTAATATTATTTTTTTGCAAAAATGAAGGACAAAATATGTTTGCAGTCAACATTAACAAGATTATAGTCAGATTTATTTAAAATAAACAAGATAAGCCAGTAAATCTAGCAACCCGTGTGTTACAGTACTTCGTCCCTGCTGATGGGGTCAAAAGTAACAATGTGCAACTTTTGTTTAAAGTGAAATTATATTAAAGTTGTTCTACATTGATACAAAATAACACCTGATTTTGATAGAGCCCTTTTGTGAGTTAGTTACCACAGCAACAATATATTTCTGTTAAAAACGTTATCTTTTTTTTAAATTTTTTTTTTTTTTTGAGATATTCATTGCATTGCATTGCATTGCACAACATTACAGCAGATGTTACAGCATCTCAAGTTTTTTTTTGCAAAAAAGAAATAAACAAATTAAATATCACACACATAAAAATAAGTAAAAATTAAAAACAATAACATTATCTGTAATAGAATAAAATAAAATAGTTAAGAGAGGAAAAAAAAAAAAACCAGAATATCTAACCCCTAAAACCCACCCCACCCCTGGGACTGAAGCTTATGCAGTACTGTTGGTGTGACCTTCACCATCTGGATTTTAGTCTAAGCTTTCAAGATAGAGGAGAAGAGGAGACCAAATCTTGTCAAATTTTTTCAACTTCTTTGCCATAAGAAATCTAATCCTTTCCAAATGTGCTAATTTAGTTAATTCTTCCAGCCAAGATCTAAATGATGGGGATTCTGTTGATTTCCAAAACCTTAGCACCAGCTTCTTTGCCACAATAAGACTGTAAGACAACAGTTGTTTTTGAGAATCCTGAAGTGATCTAGTTTTGTCTGAAATTCCGAATATAACCAAAAGTGGGTCAAAAACTAATTCACAATGTAAAATTTCAGATAGAATTTTAAATATTTTAGCCCAGAATGGGATCAATTTAGAACACAGAGCATAACTATGTAAGGGAGTGGCTAAGTCAGTCTTGCATTTATCACAGAAGGGAGAGGTATCAGGAAAAAGTTTATGTAGTTTTGTCTTGGTATAATGGAGCCGGTGTATAATTTTATACTGAATGAGACAGTGTCTGGAGTTGACAGAACAAGAGTGGATTTCCTCTAACGCATCAGCCCACAGCTCCAGACTTATCTCATCTCCCAGTTCCTGCTCCCATTGTGATTTTAGGCTCTCCATAAGAGGCAATTTTTTTGATAACAGTGAGTTATAAATGACTGAAATCCCATGGCAGACCTCGCCTCCAAGCCCTAATAGGTCATCCAGTCCAGCCGGATTGACTCCGTTTAAACAGGGTAAAAACATTATCTTTTAAAAATAAGTTTTTAATGTTACTTTCATCCTCGCTCTTCCCTTTTGTACTGTTTTGAAGTGCTGTATAGCTAAAAAATAATATAATTATAATATAGCTATATAGTATAGAATTGTTAATCAAATTTATTCATTCATTTTCTTGTCGGCTTAGTCCCTTTATTAATCCAGGGTCGCCACAGTGGAATGAACCGGCAACTTATTCAGCAAGTTTTTTTTTTTACGCAGCGGCCACAACCCTTCCAGCCACAACCCATCTCTGGGAAACATCCACACACACACTCATACACTACGGACAATTTAGCCTACCCAATTCACCTGTGCCGCATGTCTTTGGACTGTGGGGGAAACTGGGGCACCCAGAGGAAACCCACGCGAAGGCAGAGAGAACATGCAAAACTCCACACAGAAACGCCAACTGAGCCAAGGTTCGAACCAGCGACCTTCTTGCTGTGAGGTGACAGCACTACCTACTGCGACACTGCCTCGCCCTAATCATATTTATAATATCTATAAAAATTATTTTCTTGCTATATATAAGAGGTTTTATATAGGACTGATAGTGGTCTATAGAAATGTTAGATGCTTCAAAAAGGCATTGAAGTGTAAAATAAACAAATTAAAATTTCTCTTAATTTAATTTGCAATACAAATAACATATAATAAAACGTGGTTAAAATATACAAAAAAACAGGAAAATTAAACAAACTACAATGAAATCAAAATTTTAATTATTCAATTCATAACTATAAATATACAATTCAATTCATCTTTATTTGTATAGCGCTCTTACAATATATATTGTGTCAAAGCAGCTTCACATAGAAGATAATAGTAAACTGAAACAGTATAAGTCCAGTTTTGTGTTGTAGTTCAGTTTAGTGTGGTTTAATTTTCACTGAGAGCATTAAGAGAAACCAGGTATATTGGGGGCATGACCATTTCTCCTATGGCCAAAGGTCTTGTGCAGAACTGCAATCTAGGCGCTGGAGGCTGGAGAACGCACGAATCCATCGTGGAGAAGCTACATGTGGGAGAGCATCTGGTGTACAGGCTGGCCCTTCAGGATCAATGCTAGGACTGGTCTGTCACTAGGGTCTTACAAGGATCAGTCTGATGTTCTCCACTCCTCCATTACCACCACAGCAGCTGCTCAGGATACAGCCTGGTCCATGATTATGGAAACCTCGGGAATCAAATAAAAAAAGATAAGTGCAGATGCCGTCCAAATTATAATGTCTTTAGGGAAGTGTTCCCGGCTAAGGTTGCCCTAAATAATGCAAACTAACAATCCTTTAGAGGACAGCATTTGTGTTTTATGTGTATTCTTATGCAAAGAGATGTCTTTAATCTAAATTTAAACTGACAGAGTGTGTCTGCTTCGCGAATTGTGCTAGGAAGGCTGTTTCAGAGTTTAGTTGCTAGATCAGCGAAAGATCTACTGCCTACAGTTGAGTTTGATATTCTGGGAATAATCAATTGTTCAGAATTAATTGAGCGCAGTGGACGTGAGGGGCTATAATACACCAGGAGCTCCCTCAAATACTGGGAAGCTAAGCCTTTCATGGCTTTGTAGACAGTCAATAAAATTGTAAAAATTTATACAATATTTAATAGGGAGCCAATGCAATGATGAAAGAACTGGAGTAATAATATGATCATATTTCTTTAGAAAGCACTCTAGCAGCTGCATGAACTAGCTATATTAGTTAATTAATTAATTCATTCATTCATTCATTCATTAATTTATTAATTAATTAATATATAGCTATATTAAAATAGATTAAATTACATCCAAATAAATAAACAATCCAAAAAGTTTTAAAGATTAGGGTTTAATTGCAATATAGTGAAGTAAACTGCATGAAATATTAATGTGAATATGATACAATATCCCACTGGGTTAAACTATTAGAAAACGTGTGATAAATATTTAGCATGAAAAATAAAGTTATCATTATTGTGTGTCAACATTAAATCTTCTGCAACGATATCTAACTCGTGAATTTGTTTTACATTAATTTACACCTTGTCGTCCAATTTATGTATGGCATGGCCATTAAAAATACAGTGTTCCTTAACCAGATGATTTTTCAAGTTACTTATAAAGAGAATGTTACTTCAGTCAGGTTGTAATGTTTTAAGTTGACTAGTTACACAATAAAAAAAAAAAAATCGTTAATCGGATAAACTTTATAAAAAAATCTGGATTTTTTTTTCCCACATCGCCCAGCCCTAACATATATATATATATATATATATATATATATATATATATATATATATATATATATATATATATATATATATTTTTTTTTTTTATTAATTAATTAATTAAATAAAAGAGTATTATTACTGATTTAAATTTTTAATGGAAAACTTCATTAAGGTGACAGACAGTTAAGGGGTTAAAATGAGAAAAATGGGATTGAAATAAACACATAACCTAAATAAATAAATGCATAGGCCTACATAGGAAAAACGTAGGCTAATGTTTGAATATATATTTTTACAGTATAAATGGGATCCTATAAAATGGGTATTCATGAACAAAATATAGCCTGCCCTATAACTTGACATATTAATAGAATTATCCTGCAAAGCTCTACAAAACATTTACAAAGTAATTTTAAGTTTACTGATATTTAATCACTTGATCCCTTTTCCCAGGACAAAAGCGAAAAAAATGCTTATTTTCTTACCGACGTCTGGACGTTGTCTTGGGCTATGTCTCACAACCTAGTACACTGCCTACATAGACGGCGTTTTAAGGAATGAACAGTGTTTTCCGACTCCAAATGAGAATAAACTATCTATATACACCTCAAATTATTATAACCCAAACGTTTAGTCTTAACTAAACAGATGCAGATCACGTTCCAATGCTAGCCAGTGATGTCTACCTAGCAAGGGAACTAGGTTTTGAGCTACAGCCATCGTGTAGTCGGGAATCTTCGCACTGCTCTTCTTCTTTGAGTCTGATTTTAAGGGAGGAGCTGTAACTCTCGGAACATCCAGAGACTTTTGGAGAAGGACAACAACAGGTAGGAAGCTTGTGGACTTATTAAAAGTTTTCAAGACGTATTGCGACATTTCTGTTCTTGCAGAGAGTGAGAGAGTTTATTAAGCGGCCAGATAGTGATGTATATTAGCATCAGGCTAACTGATGTCTGTCTACCCCTCCCTTCTTCATCATCGCGAGTCTGGTTTAAAGGTTGTGCTCTTGATGTTGTTGAACAGTGTTGATGTTGTTTCGGTTTGATGGAGCACTTCAGTGTTAACTTTACAGGCTATATGAGTGTATTTTAAAGAGGCTTTGCTCGCAATTGCTAACTGGCTAACAGGATTAAAGGCGCTAGTGATCTGAGCCTCATAAAGCTGACAAAACAAAATGATACGCTCAGTCTCACACGATTTGAAGAGCAGAGACTTTAAAATATATCATGGTTTAGGTGATAAACAATTTATTAACATAAATCTGCATAAGTCATTTAATGTTATTAACGTCAAGCATCTTTACTTTTTTCCTTAGCTTTTTGGAAAAATAAGTAGCTACAAACAAACGCTATAAGTATAAACATTACAAGACTTTTTAAAATATATTATTCTCCATTTGTTGAATTTTATATATATATATATATATATATATATATATATATATATATATATATATATATATATATATATATATATATATATATATGTATAATTTATTCACTCATTGTTATTATTAAATGTTGTTATTAGTTATTAAAAATCTACATCTAGATAGATAAATAGATAGATAACTTAGATGGATAGTGAGATGTATTATAATATATGTCATTTTATATATTTCTTATATTTAACCAATAGATTTATAGACACAGGTTGTTTAATTATATAAAAATGAATTCAAAATGTAAGCTAATATATTAAAAATTTTTATTATTACTTATAAAAGTATAAATATTATTGTGTATAAATAATATTGACAAGTGTTGTTATTAGTAAATAAAAAATAAGGTCTGTCTGTCTGTCTGTCTGTCTGTCTGTCTGTCTGTCTGTCTGTCTGTCTGTCTATCTATCCATCTATGTGTATATAAATCTATTGTTTAAATATAAACCAAAATAAATGCCCTATATAATATATCTATTAATCATAGCAATCAGTTTCTGTTTAATGGAGAGAAGATTTGTTTTCAACATATCTCTAAACATAATAGTTTAATTAATTGATTTTTATCTCTGCTATGATGACAGTAAATAATATTTGGCTAGATATTTTTCAAGACACTTCTGTACAGCCTAAAGTGACATTTAAAGGCTTAACTAGGTTAATTAGGTTAACTAGGCAGGTTTGGGTAATTTGTAATTACTTACTTTACTCACTATATGGTGCTCCTAAAATAATACCATGGTACTTTCTTGGAACATGTAATGTGTGTTGCCATGGTTGATATATATTGTTTTTTGTTTATATTTAATATTTGAACAATAGATTTATGTGCACACAGTAATGTTTAAAATGTAAAAAATATATATATATATATATATATTTATTTAATTATTTATTTAATTACTTATTAATTAATTTCAGGGTGATTACCATATATGGAAATTTAAAAAGTACCATAGATGTATTAGTTGGATTATTTATCATTACATTATTGACCTTATTCTTCAATGTGAAAGTGTGCTCGTTTTTGTGATTGTATTAGAATCGATTCTCTGTGGGAGAAATGATTAGGAATGATAAACGGCAGAAAACGGTCAAACTACTTGTTCTACAAACAAGTGTGTCCATGACTATACAGACATAGCTGGATATAATGAGAAAATATCAGTTTGGATCATCAAGCAGTGTAACGAGGGGTTTTTAACGTCTAAAATTGAAAGGAAGTAAATAAGATCGGAAGGCTTAGGCCAAAGAGATTCAAATTGCTGCGTCTGCTTGTATGCGAAGAATAAGGGCAACTTAGTGTTGATGTTCTATGCTGTGAGTCTAATATCTGTATATGTTTTATATGTTTGTCTGTAGGACGGCTAATTATGGATCCAGCATCTCATCCAGAGCAGCTGTCAGTTGTTAACGAACAGGTGCTGAACTCGGCGGACAGATCAGTGACTGCAGCTGTATGTCTGCGCCGCTTCCTCTGCTACGGCTCTGAAAGCTCCACATACAGCACTAAAGAGTGTCCTCTGGGCATCGAGAATGCCCTCTCCTTAATGCAGCTCATCGAGGGGGGTCGTGGGTCTGAGGTGGTAGACGAGGTCAGACGCTTCAATTTGGAGGGCCGCGCTGTCCGTCCAAACCCCGGCCTCTTTACTCTGGCTGTCTGCTCGCAGCATGCAGACTGTAAAACTAGACAGGCCGCTTTACGGGCACTGAAGGAACTCTGCCGGTCCCCCATGCAGCTCTTTACATTCGTGCAGTATAAGAAGGAGTTGAAGGAGGGCTCTGGGATGTGGGGCCGGGCTCTGCGGAGGGTCGTGACTGATTGGTACAATGGTCAGGATGGGATAAGTCTGGCGCAAGCAGTGACCAAGTGCAAGCACAGGGCAGGCTGGTCCCATCAGGACCTCCTCAGACTGTCCCACATGAAGCCTGCTAATGACAGTGAGTGCTTGAGTAATGGTTTGACGTGAAGAGGAAGCAATGGTTTAATGATTTCAAGTGTGATAATTTGGATAATAATTAAAATATTATTTTTTTTTAATCATTTTTATTTATACAACAGTTCTGTCTGGTTCTCGAATTTGAGTGGCTGATAGCAGTGAGATATTCTGCAATATCAGAACTCCTACAGCCTCCTTACCAAACCGTATTACTCCACCCAAATAGACTGACAGCAGATCATTACTCAGAACTCATTACAGTTTGACAAATATTGCAGTTATTGGACAACATAATGTACTTTTAATGCTGTGTTCACACCAGACGCGGAACGCGCGGATAAATCGCGCTACTTGCGCGTAAATAGCTGCGTGAACATTTGAGTTTACTCGCTTCATACGTGCGTCAAACCCCACTTCATTCGCGTGTCAAATTCACATCAGAACAGATACGGATTCGCGTGATGGGCAGGGCTTCTGTCTGCCCGAAAACTCTAGCTTCATAGCTAAATGGCTAACATGGATTTTATGAAGAAAATAACAGTGTTTATGTGCTTTATGAAGACTGAAAAACAGCGTTGATACTTTTAGGGTTGTGTCTGAGTCCACTACATTCTTTCAGAGGTGCATTCAGCTCTGTGAGCTCATAAACTCTTCCAGAAACTTAACCTAGATGACGGAGGCTTTCAGCGGTGCTTCTAACTTAGCCAAGCCGAGTTTGATGAACTGTTGTCGGTGAAGGCTGGAGGATTTCCCTCGGAACACCGACAACAGGTTCTACGTCACAATCACGCCCCCACAAGAGCAAGCTTCTGATTGGTTTACGCGGCGCGAATGTACGCTGAAGTTCAGATTTTCGAAATCGAGAGATTTGCGCGAAACGCTCGTTTTTCGCGCGCAATTTGCGTCATTCGCGCCGCGCTATTCGCGCATATCGCGCCGCAGGATGTCTATTCGCGCTTTTGCATTGACTTAACATGTAAATCACTCGCGCTTGACACGCGTGCCGCATCTGGTGTGAACGCAGCATAAGGCTTTTTAGGGCGAGAATGTAGTTGTTTTGATTGAAACAATGCAGTTTATTCATAAGGAAAGTTTGAATATGCAGTTTATTTACTTTAAATATTTATAGTTTTGGAGATACAGCGCCATCAACAATATGGTGACACAGACCGCATAATCAGCCCTTAAAGGAGGGAAAACCCAGCGTAATTTTAAACTACAGCTGATTAAAAAAGTGACTTTCTAAGTTGATCTCACTCTATTTTGTATGTTCCAGTGTTGTCTATACCAGGGATGGGCAAACTCGGTCCTGGAGGGCCGGTGTCCTGCACAGTTCAACTCCAACTCTAATCAAACACACCTGCTTATAGATTTCTAGTGATCTTGAAGACACTTTTTGGCATGTTCAGGTGTTTTTGATTAGAGTTGGAGCTAAACTATGCAGGACACCGGCCCTCCAGGACCGAGTTTGCCCACCCCTGGTCTATACCATAGCAGTCTTAGGGTGTTGAGTGTGAGATAGGACTCAAATATTAGGAATGTATGTATTCTGTGTTACACTCTTTATCTAACCCTGAGTTACTTTTTGGTTGATCATCTGTTTCTTATGAGTTACTGCAGACTGGTTCAGTAAACAGAAAGAAAGAAGAAATCCATGTGTGTGTTTAGGATTTTTCCTTATCGCAAACAACAGTAATCTGGTAGTGTTTGCACTGTTCTAACTTTTTTGAGGTTAATTATTTTGATCTCCCAATTGCAACAGAGAAATACTGGGAAATCTCTGTAGAGATTTCATGCCGCTCAGCCTCATAATCTTGAAATGTGAGTAAAATCACTTGTAGTTTCTTATACAAAAGAGTTTTTAGACTCTCCGTGTTTTTATATATATATATATATATATATATATATATATATATATATATATATATATATATATATATATAAAAGAAATGTGCTGAAAAAAATCTCTGTTCAACACAAATTGGGGGGAAAAATAGCCCCCCAATAATTCAGGGGGGCTAATAATGTGTGTGCGTGTGTGTGTGTTTATGTATGTATATATATATATATATATATATATATTCATTCATTTTCTTGTCGGCTTAGTCCCTTTATTAATCCGGGGTCGCCACAGCAGAATGCACCGCCAACTTATCCAGCAAGTTTTACGCAGCGGATGCCCTTCCAGCCACAACCCATCTCTGGGAAACATCCACACACACTCATACACTACGGACAATTTAGCCTACCCAATTCACCTGTACCGCATGTCTTTGGACTGTGGGGAAAACCGGAGCACCCGGAGGAAACCCACGCGAAGGCATGGAGAACATGCAAACTCCACACAGAAACACCAACTGAGCCGGGGTTTGAACCAGCGACCTTCTTGCTGTGAGGCGACAGCACTACCTACTGTGCCACTGCCTCGCCCCCTATATACATACATACAAACATATACATAACATTTTTACATTTTTTAAGAAGAGAGACAATCACAAATGTATGTAAACGCTGGTACTATTTTGATAAATGGTTAAAAGACAAAACGTTTTCTTGCATCAACGTCTAAATAAATAAGCAGAATTTCTTTTGTTTAACGTTTCGTTATGTTTAACATTTTTTTTTACCATAATTCACAGAAGATACCCACTAAAATTGCATTAATGGTAGCAATTGTTCATGTTGACAAACCTTTTGTCAGGTGTTACTTTTACTTTTATTAATTATAATTTTCTCAAATTGTTAAAATATGTGATAATTTAATGTTCAATTATACTTTTATTTTAGTAAGTACATGGCAAAATAAATGTTTGAATAATAAAACATTATTTCACCCATATTTTTAAATTTTCACAAAAAGTTTTGAAATATTAATGCTATGTTATGCTTTATGCTTTCTATGTATATAAATTCAATCTCCTATGTAAATTGTATTAAATTCAAATGCCAAAATTCTATATGTAATAATTTATTTTTAATTTGCTTAGTACAAAATTTAATTGAATAATTTTGTATTTTCTTATATTATATTATATTATATTATATTATATTATATTATATTATATTATATTATATTATATTATATTATATTATATTATATTATATTATATTATATTATATATATTTTTAAGTAATACTAAGCAATGCGACTTTCATATATGTTGCATTTATTATTAAATACTTTTTACTGTCACAATATAAATAAAATAAATGTGCCAACTAAAACTGTTCTAGCACTTATCACAATTTATAAATAATCATATCAAAGTTTTAAAGTCAGAACTTTCTATATTTGTAAAGCACAAATACTCTATGTAAAAAAATAAAAATAAAATTTTTAATTGTTGTGTCAGAAATCACAGATTAAAATTAAGTATGTGTTCTTGTTCTACACAGACATTGCTCTCGTTTGCAAATACATCACGAAAGGATGGAAAGGGGTTGAGGAAGCATATGCTGAGAAAGACAAATCTGAGGATCTGCAGAAGGTTTTTGCGTATCTGGAAGCTGTTGAAAAAGTCAAACACTCCACTGATGAACAGGAGCTCATTCATCTGATTGAGGAGCAGAGACTGGGGAAAGAGCAGCTTCTCACCAACCATCTCAAGTCCAAAGAGGTTTTGCCACACTTGACTAATTAATTATTACATATTTAGTGTAAAAAAAAAAAAAAAAAAAAAAAAGATTTTTTGTGTGTTTTCAGTGTTATTTGCTCAAAAACAAAACCATTTAAATACTCATGTATGCAACTGGTAAACTGTTAAAGGCAAAAAGTAATTATGGTAATTAAAGTAATTATGTGGCACCATAAACATTTTGGTGCATTTTTGTCCAAGACTTCTTAAGTATGTTTTTAATGCCAATGTTCTTTTTGATCCTTTTTAGGTTTGGAAAGCATTGCTCAAAGAAATGCCAGTGGCTGTTTTATTGAAGCATTTGGGGAAGTTGACAGCAAACAAAGTTCTTATACCAGGAAGTCCTGACATTGCTGCTGTTTGTGGGAGGATTCAGGAAGAGACTGTTCTGAAAAAGGTATTTTTAAGACAATAGTTATGTAATGAAGTTGAATGGCTCCCTGGTCATCCGGAAGGAGAAGGTGGAGAACCGACAAACTTTTAAATGATTTTAATACTGACAAAACAAACCGGTGTCAGCTCCTTGCGGAGACTACTGCCAAACTGAAATCAAAACAAACATAAAGGGCTCTATTTTGACGGTCAATGCGCAAAACGGAAAGCGCAGGGCGCAAACCCTTTCAGGGCTTGTCAGAATCCATTTGATAATTTAAGGCCGGAAAAATCTGCTTTGCGCCGTGGCGCATGGTCTAAAAGGGTTGAGTTTATTTTCTTAATGAGTTATAGGTGTGTTTTGAGAATAAACCAATCAGAGTCTCATTTCCCATTCTCTTTAAGAGCCAGCTGCGTTGCGCCATAAGCGCATTTGCTATTTAAAGGACGTAAAGTAAGTGGAAGTGGAAAAAATGAGCATTTCACAAGCAAACAGTTAACAGTTATTTTAACAGAAAACAGTTAAACAGAGCATCTACCGCGCAAGAATGAGAGATAATCGATCTACTTTCACTTTCGCTCTCGTGGATGTGGAAACCTTTACGCACAGACATCAATTAGCCTATAAATAATTAATTTTGTTTGTTAAGCACAAATATTTGTTTAAAAACAATTTCTAAATTCAGTTCTAATTTCCAGCAAACGAATAAATAAACAATAATAACGAAGTGTGCTCAAAAACCTGAGTTATATCCTAAAACACATGCTGTGCCCCATATGGTATAAAACCTGCAGGTGGGAAAATCTAAGCTTGTTTTTAATAAATCAAATATAAATGTGGATATATTAAATAATACTGCTAATAATAATAACTTTATACAAAAGCAAATTGTTATGAATGAACTGAAAAAGCCTCCCGAGATGAAGAAGGCAAAAAAACAGTGTTTTTTATTTATTTATGTAGGCTAGGAAATAATATGTTTTGTAATATTTTAATCCTTTATATTTATAACCTTTAAATATTCTTATTATATCCTATATATATAGGCCTATCCTTAATATTAAAATTTTTTCATATGTAAAGATATTTGCGTATTGCTCTACATCTTGTGTGTAGGCTATTAAGCAGTGTGTAAGCGAGGCGCAACTCTGCGCTGGAGTTTAGACCGGGTTTGATTTGGCCTAATAAAAAATCTATTATAGTTTCTCAAAATAGCAACGTGCCAGCTAGGGGTGTCACGATTTTTAATCGAAATCGACCGAAATAAATGCTCAATTTCAATTATTGAATCAAAAAATAGAATCGTCGATGCTGCCATGCCCCCATGTCACGTCAGCTTGGCTTGCCAAGCAGGAAAAAACAGGCTTGTTGAAGTGCTTATTAAACTGCAGAAGCAGGAGACCCGTCGACAGAACTTAAACCCTCTCCTCTTTCAATGAAGTCGCCGGTATTTAAGCATTTTGGATTTCCAGTGAGTTATGTTGACAACATTCGTGTTGTCGACAAAAAAAAACACAGTTTTGCAAGCTCTGCTATGTACGTATTACATACGGTTCGTCTGATAGAAAACACCGGCATCGCGATCCTCCGCCCGCCCCCGTTGCAAATCCGCTCGCGAAAAGTACACACTCAGGCCCTGTTTATACTGTCTTTGTTTTTAAATGGCATTTCAGCCCTCCTTCCTCTCTGCCTCTGAAAATGCACATCACGTGACCACACAGACACAGACGCACATACAGCCTTGCGCTCGAGACAGCAGGTCCAGGCAGTCAAAGGACTGCTTCAATCTTTCACTCACTTGTACTTAGTCATTTTAGCGAACACCTCAGATACTGTTGGCTGGTTCCTGTTGGTTGTGTCTTTTTTACCGACACCATTATAACGACACAGATCACTGCCTATTCCAGAGTCCCGCAGAAAAAGTGATTGACAGGTGGTAATTATGTGTGTATCTTGCCTTTATTCATTTACTGTATGATTTGTTTATGGTTAAAACAAAGACCATGCAGGTCAGGTAGTTTAAACGGTTGGCTACAAATAATTAATTGGTCATTAATTAATTAATTACTCATAATCGAAAATCGAATCGTGCCTTTAGAATCGAAAATGTAATCAAATCGAGGATTTGGAGGATCGTGACACCCTTAGTGCCAGCAGTGCGCCTCAGAACGCCTTCCTTTTTAGACCAGAACGCCTATGGGCGCACATATGAGCGCAAATGCATTTGCTATTTAAAGAGTGTGACGCAACGACTCAAAACGACTCTTGTGCCAAGCTGAAACTAGCAAACAAGTATTGTGCCGGGTGTGAGATAGGACCCAAACTGTCCAGACCTGGTCCTCTCTCTTCTTCCACTATTATAGCCATGGTCACACTGCACTTTTCTTCCCATAGACTTCCATTCATATACATGTGGCAGACCGGAAGCGCAAGCTCGTGTTACAAGTTTTGCAGTTTGCTACATTGCAAAGTTCAAGCTTGGTGAACTCTGACCTTCGAAATCGCATCATGTGATTGCGTGAGACCAGAAAATCAAAAACTAACTTCTCTGTACAGAAATTTAAAATATGGATCCCACCCCTTTTCCCAGCACCGTACCACAGAATTTCGCAAACTCAAACTCTAGTGTGATCGCAGCAAATCTCTTCTTCTTTTAAGATCCAGAGCTCCTTCGTGAGACTCGGGACAGGTAGCACATACAGGTGACGGCCGTTAGCACTCAGGCACAAGTTCATTAGTACTCTTTCAAGTTACATCTACTTAATTCAGTTATTCAGAAATGTATAGTCAGGATTACACCATGTCAGGATTACACCAGATGCAACAAGACAGAAATATTTAAAAACTTGTGATTCAGAAATAGTCAACACTTTGTTGGTTTTCATCAAGAATTTGTATATGCCGTCATCTGTTTTCTTGTATATTATGACAAATAATTAACTGCACTTGAAGCTTTCGTACAATGAAAAATTAAACACCAAAAAACAGTATGTGATGCCATAACAAAGATAAAGAATATGGTAATAATTTGTGTGCCATTTATTAATCTATGTATAGTAACATATAACGGGTTCTTAAACTTTTCAGCTTGTGACAACCAAAATAACAATTCCAGCGACCCCCCACTCTACTCGGAGGTGATGTTAAACATACAAACATTGCACACAATGGTGCACACACACCAATAAGAACTATATAAACAATCTTATTTACAATACAAAAAAGTGCAACTGTCTTAACAACCATATAGTTTATACAACTCATTTGTTTCATTTAATATTAACCTCACTTAATGAGAATGATGGGCACAATGTTTACAGCACAAGACTATTTTTGATTTTGGAAAATTTGCCATTTGGAAATTGTCATCTATGTTCAGTCCAGTTGAATTAATCTAGTATTAGAATTGACAGGCTGATGGCTTTTTATCTGCATGTTTTATTTATAAATATAATTTTTAAATACTATTTTTATCTTCTGTAGGTTATGAGTTATATATGGTAATTCTAATTGTTTAATAACATGTATGATATTCTTGGAAATCAGCAAGCAATTGTCTCGCGACCCCCACCTTGGGAACCACCGTTATATAAAACAGGAACATGGAAAGAATACTTACCCAAAATCTGTTATTAATCAGTCATCATCAGAACACAAACTAAGATATTTTAGCTGAAATCTGAGAGCTCCATCATCCACCATAGTCAACAAGGGTCGTGACATTTTCAAAGCTCAGTAAGGGAACCTAACACCTTCAATCGACTCAGCAAAAGCCAAAACATTGCCGAAAAGTTTTTCGCTTTGACACACAAAACTGTTCTAGGAGCTTCATTACAGTTAATAAATTCATATGGAATGTTTTGATAATACTTTTGGTACCTTTCTAAAAATGTTGTTACCCTTGTTGAATATGGAGGATGAGAGAGCTCTCTGTTTTCATTGAAAATATCTTAAATTGTGTTCTGAAGATGAACATAGCTCTTGGGATTGGAATGACATGTGAGCGAGTAATTAATAACAAGAATTATCATTATTAGGTGAACTAATCCTTTGAACGAGTACACACCTTAATCCATAATATTGTCCTATTCAAAATTGGGTAAGTACTGTAATTAGATTACTGATGTGAGGTCCATGTAAACATGCTCAAATTTTAAATGTTTTGGAATTATAGTGACACACTAGACTGACTCATGGGCATCTACTAAAAAGAGAAATTGCTTCAAATTGCCAGTATTACAATAGCAACCTTATTGTCAAACATACACTACTTGACAAAAGTCTTGTCTTCGATCCCAGTTGTAAGAGCAACAAATAATAACTTGACTTACTAACTAGTAATTACTAGTTGGTCATTTGGAAAAGTGGCAGAAGGTAGATTTATTCAGATGAATCATCTGTTGAACTGCATCCCAATCATCACACATACTGCAGAGGACCTATTGAAACTAAAGATTCTTTCAGAAATCAGTCAAGTTTGGTGAAGGAAAAATCATGATTTGGGGTTACATTCAGTATGAGGCATCCGAGAGATCTGCAGAGTGGATGGCAACATCAACAGCAGGTATCAAGCTATTAGTGTTGCCCATTACATGGCAAATCACGGAAGAGGGCAAATTCTTCAGCAGAGTAGAGCTCCCTCTCATACGTCAGCCTCCACGTCAAAGTTCCTGAAAGCAAAGAAGGTTATGGTGCTCCAGGATTGGCCAACCCAGTCACCTGATACGAACATTATTGAGCATGTGCGGCGTAAGATGAAGGTTGAAGATGAATTCAAAGAATCTTAATGAACTCTAGGAGTCCTGTAAGAATGATTCCTTTGTCATTCCAGATGACTTTATTAATAAGTTATTTGAGTCACTGTAGAGAGAAGTATGGATGCAGTCCTCCAAACTCATGGGAGTCATACACAATAATAATGCTTTTTCCACTGCATTGTGAATTATTATTCTATACTGTACATTATTTCTGTGACAAGTGACTAGACTTTTGTCTAAGCTATGTCAGACCTTTATGTCTGAATTAAATAATTAAAAATCAAGGCATGATCATATTTTATTTTGGTAAAATAAGTGTAATCTAGAGGCCTTTGCCTTTCATAAAAGTCATTTCTGATACCAAATAATCAACTAGAAGTTATCATTTGTTTTTCCTAAAATTTGGATAGGAGACAAGACTTTTGTCAGGTAGTGTATTCTTTTGCAAAGCCCTATGTTATTGTTCTCAGACAATGCTTTAATTTGGAGAGATTTTATACGAGTTTTTCACGTCAATCCTTCAAAAATTGTATGTTTTTGTCAAAAGTTAATATTAAAAAAGATTTCAATTTTTTTTCAAGTTTTTGTTCATTATGTATTTTTAGTTTTATCGTTATAAATCTTTTTATTATAGAACAGTGTTATTTATAAAAAGCTATTCAATTAGATCTGTTTTTGCCATGAAGTAGCCAGAGAAGCTGATATGACAATAGGCTCAAAACTCTCTCTCCATGTAAACACACCCATTTTGTTTGTTTGTGTTCTTTTCTTTTTTCAGGCCAAAACACAGCCATTCAACATACTTGCAGCGTCTGAAAACTATAAGAGAGGTCACGGGAAGCGTAGCAAGCTGAAATGGGAGCCAGATAGAGACCTTGTTCAAGCACTGGACTGCGCGTTCTGTAAAAGCATTTCAGTGAGTGGCATCATCCAAAGATCATTGATTAGATTTGTTTTCAGCATTCTATAAGCAAAAAAAAAAAATCTAATTGATGTTAACCCACCACTCTCTTCATGTCCCCAGACCATGGAGGCCACAGGCAAGCGGTTTTTGGTGGCTGTTGATATAAGTTCCTCTTTGAGCAGTTTGTGTCGCGGCAGCTCCATCAGCACTGTGGCAGTAGCGGCGGCAGTGTGTATGGTAAGACCACAGGCCTGTTTATCCCACTCAGACACACTGAAGAGCCTGGAGTCATATTCTAAACTATTATTTTGGTCTTAGAGGAGGAAGTGTGCGTGTGTGGCTGTCAGGGTCCACCCCGTGCATATTTCACATTCCTCGCATATTCCTTTACTGATGGGACGCTCTGGTCTCGTAAACATCAATGAATCGCCTCTCAAGTACATTACTCTGTTATGCAAGTCATGTGAAAATATTTTACATACTTGAGATGAAAATTAAATGTTCAAATAGCAACGAGAACTTTATGAACTCAACAAGATCAGGACTTTACTAAATTCTTTGCTGCTTTTTAAGTTATATCAATTAGTTATGTAAAGGAAAATAATTAAACAATGATAATGTTATTTCATGTTGGCTTAGCGATACAGTGCATCTGGAATGTATTCATAGCTCTTCAATTTTTCAACATTTTTTTTATGTTAAGCCTTATTCCAAAATTATTTAAATTCTTTATTTCCTCAAAATTCTACACACAATACGCCATAATGTCAATATAAAAATATTTTTTGAATAGGATGCCTTAAGCTTGGCACACTTGTGTTTGGGAATTCTTGCCCATTCCTCTTTGCCGTACCTCTCAAGCTCTATCAGGTTGGATGGGAAGCGACTGTGTACAGCCATTTTCAGATCTCTCCATAGATGTTCAATAGGATTCAGGTCTGGGCTCTTGCTGGGCCACTCAAGGGCATTCACCGAGTTGTTGTGAAGCCACTCTATTGATATTTTGGCAGTGTGCTTTGGGTCATTGTCCTGCTAGAAGATGAATCGTTGCCCCAGTCTGAGGTCAAGAGCACTCTGAAGCAGGTTTTCATTCAGGATGCTGCATTCATCTTTCCCTCTTTCCTGACTAGTCCTCTAGTTCCTGAAAGGCCTATATTTAGTTAATTTAAGTTAGCTCGGAAGCTGTCTGTAAGGTAGTTAGTTCACTTGTAGATGTAGCAGAAAATAATGTTTAGGGAAATAAGTAGTTTTTTAAAAACATTTAGTAATAACATAAGCAAATAAAAACTATTTACATATGTTCTTTTACACAGTTGAAACCAGAATTATTAGCCCCATTTGATTAATTTTTATTTATTTTTTAATATTTCCCAAATGATGGTTAACAGAGCAAGGAAATTTTCTAATCATGTCTGATAAATGTTTTTCTTTTGGATAAAGTCTTATTTGTTATTTGTTGGTTAGAATAAAATCAGTTTTTAATATTTAAAAAAAAAACATTTTAAGGTCAAAATTATTAGCCCCTTTAAGCTATATTTTTTGATAGTCTACAGGACAAACCATTGTTATACAATAACTTACCCAATTACCCTAACCTGCCTAGTTAACCTAATTAACTTAGGGTGCTTTCACACCTACACTTTTGTTTCGGAACGTGTCTCGTTTGCCCAGTTAGCGCGGTTCGATTGGCATATGTGAACAGGGCAATCGCGCTCCGTTCCGCGCCAAAGTAATCGCTCCAAGATCGCTTGAATGAGGTGGTCTCGGCTCGGTTGAAACGAACCCTGGAGCGGTTCGATTGCAGTGAGAAAGCGATCCGATCCGAGCGTGGTTATATCACAGTGTTTTATGGATATGTAATAGGCTTACGGCTATATGAAGAGAGAATTATGAGTAGGGCGGGAAGTTTCGCGAGTCTCCGGATGCCCGCAAACGAGTGATGATCTCCCAGTAATCTCGCGTCTCTCTCCCAGTCCTCAAATAGGCATCGTCGCGCACCCTTCTCACCCCTCCCCACTGTGTCTCTCCTCAGACACGTCACGCGCGCGCACCACCAAACCACCACCTCTCCTGACAGCTGAGCGGGACGCTGCAAAATAAACCCTGACACTCTGACCAATATGAGGAGAGTTTACTCGCACGTGACTTGTTTTAGCTCTTTTAGTCCGATTAGAAACTTTGCAGTGTGAAAGCGAACCGCTCCAAGAGCAAAGAGCCACAATGTAACAATTTTAATCTCTGTTTCGGAACAACTGAATCGATTCACATGTGTGAAAGCACCCTTAGTTAAGGTTTTAAATGTCTCTTTAAGCTGTATAAAAGTGTCTTGAAAAAGATCAAGTATAATTTTATTTACTGTGTTCATGGTAAAGATAAAATAAATCAGTTATTAGAAATGAGTTATTAAAACTATTATGTTTAGAAATGTAAATAAAAAAATTCTCCATTTAACAGAAATTGGAAAAAAGGAGGCTAATAATTCAGGGGGGCTAATAATTCTGACTTCAACTGTATATGATGCATCAGGCTTTAAGGAAAAAAATTTAAATTGAGCAAAACATGTAATTTTGTGCTGTTGCTAATATTTCTATAACATTTTTATAATGTATGTTTTACCATGTGGCGTTTAACAGAGCAAGGAATTTTTTTTCTATTGTTTCTATTGTATTGTTTTAAACAGGATACATCGTTAAGCTGTGTTTTTGTTGACCATAAATGGGAATAAATCCTTGATCTTATTCCCCGTCTTTTTGGAAAGATCTACAAATATCGGCACTGTTGTTGGTTCTATTTCAAATTAATCTGTTTTTGAATTGAGTGAGACATTGGATCAATGATCCGTTTATGAAGAGAGTCTTCAGCAATTTGGGTCACTGAATATTGAACATGGACTGGCTGTGGATGTCTTGAGTTTGAGTGACACAGTTATTTATTTTTTACAGGCTGAAACCAGACAAAAACATAATCCCAATTTGAACTGAGGAAGATATTTAATGTTTTTTTTTTTATATTTAATTTTCTTCTTAATTGCAGATAATTGCTCAAACAGAGCCAAACGCGCAGATTGTGGTTTTCTCTGAAGGAAACCTTCTTCCCTGTACTGTCTCTTCTGATATGACATTAATGCAGGTAGCAGGACTGCTAATCCAGGTAAGAGGACTCTGATGACATATAGTAGTTAACATTTAAAGTTAATAAAACCTTTCATTAAAGTTGTCCATAAAGCTATTGAAAAACACCTATTCTTGCGTTAGGTCAATTTAAAAAAATAATATTTTGATTCACTTCAAATGTTGACTACTATAGCTCATGCTGTAACATTCAAAACATTTAACTTACCTAGTATAAAATGTAGTAAAAATCTTGTTTTTTTTATTGCTAAATGTCCATGTAATAATTGCCTCATCAAGTAGTCAAACAATACAATTATTTATCAAATACCTTTTATTAAAGAAATAAAAAAACAATTGGAGTTAATTCCATTAAGGAATTGTTAAATATATTTATTGTGCTATAATCATAATCTACAGTATATGTGCTTCTCTCTAGACTCCTGGTGGTAGTACAGACTGTTCTTTACCCATCACCTGGGCCTCGGAGAATGAGAAAACTGTGGACGTCTTTATCATTTTAACCAATAATCAAACCTTTGGTAGAGAAAATCCAGCTGACACTCTGAAGATGTATAGACAGGTGAGTCAAGCTTAAGAGGAATGCATAAGATGTGTTTGTGTCCTAATAAATGGTTATTTATTATTTTTGCAGTCCTTAAAATAAAAAAATACTTGTGATTACGCGTGACTAATTGCATACAAAATAAAAGATGACATTTACATAAAATTGTTTTTAAAGAATATATGTGTGGGCATTTATATATGTACACAGTACAAGCACATATACTACCTGACCAAAGTCTTGTCGTCTATCTAAGTTTTAGGAACTAAAATTAAAGCCTTGACTTCTAGTTGAACATTTGGTATTAAAAGTGGCTTATAAAAGGCAAAGGCCTCGATTACGCATAATTTACCAAAATAAAATATGATCATGCGTTGATTTTGACAGACAGTAAGGTCTGACTTTGCTTAGATAAAAGTCTTGTCACTGAACAGAAATAATGTACAGTATAGAATATAAAGTCATGGTGCAGTGGAAAAAGAATATTGTTTATGACTCCCATGAGCTTGGAGGACTGCATCCATACATCTTTGCAATGACTCGAATAACTTATTTATTAAGTCATCTTGAATGGTTAAAAAAAAAAAAAAAGCATTTTTGCAGGATTCCCAAAGTTCATCAAGATTATTTGGATTCAACTTCAATGCCTCCTCCTTCATCTTACCCCAGACATACTCAAAAAATGTTCATCTATGATAACTGGGCCTGGCAAACAATGATTTTTCCTTCACCTGACTTAACTGATTTCTGTGAGAATCTTGGGTCCATGTGGGTTCCAGTAGGTCTTCTGCAGTATTTGTGATGATTGGGATGCAGCTCAACAGATGATTCATCGGAATAAATCTGCATTCTGTCACTTTTCCAAATGACCAACTAAAAGTCAAGTTATTATTTGTTGCTCTTACAACTGGGATTGACGACAAGACTTTTGTCAGGTAGTGTAAATTATGTAAATAAAAAGTTTATATTTACATCTAATGGATTAGTCACGATTAATTAACTGCACTAATTCTTTTGTATGTTTGAATAAGTAAAGGTCTGAATATTAGTGTTTCACTTTTACAAAATAATCTTATGTTGATGAAATGGAAGAGTTGTTCTTCCATATTTTGGTATATTTTTTGACAAGTTTTTTGAAACCTGAAACCTTTAACGTGTTTCTGTGTACATTAATTTAGTTTATTAGAGAGAGTAGGTATTGTTAATAAAAAGGTTCGGAAATAAGACACGTGGAGTATGCATATATTCATTCATTCATTTTCTTGTCGGCGGTTCATTCCGCTGTGCCGCCAACTTATCCAGCAAGTTTTTACGCAGCGGATGCCCTTCCAGCCGCAACCCATCTCTGGGAAACATCTACACTCACATTCACACCCACACTCATACACTACGGACAATTTAGCCTACCCAATTCACCTGTACCACATGTCTTTGGACTGTGGGGGAAACCGGAGCACCCGGAGGAAACCCACACGAAGGCAGGGAGAACATGCAAACTCCACACAGAAACGCCAAGGTTCGAACCAGCGACCCAGCGATCTTCTTGCTGTGAGGCGACAGCACTACCTACTGCTCCACTGCCTCGCCAGTATGCATATATATTAGTGGCATTATTGAAGTAAACACAGCAATCAAACTATTACCGTCATGTAGGACTTTTTGCCATATTTATATCCGCACATAGACATATACACGCATCGTGAAATGTGGAAGTTTTTTTCTTTCCATTTGGCATGCGTTATTAAATTCCATAACACTCACCAGTCCTTACTCCTTATTTGCGTTTAATACCCCAGTTTGTCTCGGGGGCATGAATGAAATGTTCATGAGTGAATCTGCCGAACTGCAGTTAAAATTACAGGAAACTCTTACATGAAAGCACTTCACGTAAACACCTGAATTATATTATTGTCTATTAAGGATGATAACTAGACTACAGATGTCCATGAAAGAGTAGTCAGTAGTGTCTTCTAAGTAAGTGAAGGACCCAGAAGGGCATCCTGCTGATATGATTTAGAAGGGCACTTTTTTTGTCAGACGCTCACCGGTTTGACTTTCATTCACCGTCATTCATTTTCAAAAGCACCCAGTCCATTTATATTTGTATATGTTTTACTCGAACACATAAACTCTACAGGTGCCTGATGGTTAGATGTGGAGCTAACATTAATCAGATTCACTCTAGTGAACCATCTATGTTACCACATCACGTTTAATGTGGTAATGTCACAGTAGGATTACACACAGGTTCGAAGACTCGTTCTCGCCACCTACAGTGCAATTCAGCCAGATATACATCCGTGCCAAAATATCAAAGTGAAAGTCATCATAGCTAGCGTAGAATAAACCCAGCTCCCAACCCAACTTTGAGAATTTTTTTTTAATCGCCTGATGAGAGTCTCGTGTTATCGCCGATAATGACCCACCACTATTAAAAAGATATTTTAACAAACTGTAAATGCATTGTTAAATGTTTTACTAAAGTGGTGGAGATGTTTGATTAGCTAGGAGAGAGAAAGCTACCTGGGTGACCTATTTCGATAAATTAACATTAATTAAATAATATAATTTTACATGATAAAGGCACCAATAGATTTATTTAGAGTTCTATTTTGAAACTTTAATGTAAATGAAAACAAAGGCAGGAAATAATTTCGGCCTCTACATACGACATAGGTCTCAAATTCTATCCCTGGAAGGCCGCAGCTCTGCACAGTTTTGCTCCAACTCTAATCAAACAATGGTGATCCAACTAATCAAGGTGTTCAAGACTACTACAGACTATTAAACAGGTGTGAGTTGGAAGTGGTTGGAGGAGCTAAACTGTGCAGTGCTGCGGCCTTCCAGGAATTGAGTTTGTGACCACTGACATAAAGATGTGTTTTGGATGTTTAATTGGGATCCTTTTCAGGGTGTCCATGGGGTCTTAAAAAGAATTAAAAATTGATAAATCAATTTAGAGAAATTTAAGGGCCTTAAAGTATAAAAAAGTCTTAAATGCTTTTTTACAAGGTATTCATTTTTGTATCAGTATGCTAAAGTTTACATTTAATCTTTGAATATTGGGAGGCTGTGTAGTTTATGAAATCAAACAAATCCTGCTAGATTTGACATCAAGCTGCATTTGTTTACTGCAGGAACCAGGGAAACTGTTATTCCTGCTGTTGTAACTGCGCCACCTGCTGGATTAACATTTTTATTCAGTATATAAATACAGTTTTAGCTTGGGATTCGCAACTTTAAATGTTACTGGTTCAAACCTGAAGTGGTGATTGGCTTCTAAAATGTATGCAAAGAGTCTTAAAAAAGGTCTTTAAAGGTATTGAATTTCAGTTTCGCTCAACAATTGTGGAACCATTTGACATTCTACCGCATTGCTTAACAACATATATAGAAAACAATTTAAAGGCATGGCAGGCTTAAGCAAAGCCTGTTTATTCAACAGCTTTTGGCTTTAGTCTCCCTGCCCTTCCCATTTTCAAAATAAGAGTCTCACATACATAGTATATTTAATTTAAGCTTAGATTAACTTATAAACAAGGAAACAATTATAAATTGCGTAATCTCACTTGGAAGTGCGAGGCCAATCAAACGCAACTTGATATCAGGCCAATCAAACGCAACATTGGGTGTGCATATTAGGCATATAAGATTTTGACTGTATGATAACTTTGGATATAAATATCACATTTCACAGTATCACAGTATTGAGATTACTGCTCTAAAATATGTTCTTTTTAAACATCTGGGTAAAAAACAAAAACCTTTGTACACAATATATTTTAATTTGGGAAACATTTAAAATATTGTGGAACAGTAAACATGTCAGGCTAAATAATTCAAATAAATCATTGACTTCTGCTTTATTTGTTTAAATTACACAGATACAATTTAAATTTACAATTTAAATGGCATCTTTGGATATCTTTTCTGCTGGAGATACTTTGTCCTAAACTTTAAAAAAAATGTAAATATAATAAATACCTTAGGAGCGGTATAGCAGAAAATTTTGACTGTCTCAAAACCTTGACTTTTCCAAATCATCCCGTGCCTTGTACATATTGATGATCCCATGTTCAACTTAAGAGTCTGTGTTTTGTTTTGTTTTGATTGTTCTAATTATCACCGAGAGTTTACACTCGAATGAGGAAACAATGGTGAGATTTAGGCTCACAGTATTCTATTTCTTTGTAATGATCTCTTATTATTCAGCTATGTATATCCAGATTTTCATTCTATGGCATTTTTATTTTATTTATTTGTACCATTACAAAACTTTCAATTCTTGTTTAAAATTAATTCTTGCTTAATAAAAGTATTACTTGTTTAAATAATAGTAATAATAATAATAATAATAATAGTTTGTTTTTCATGTGAGTAATAACTTCCTTTTGAGATGATGAACACATTCCCTATTCACTGCGAGATTCATTGTGACTACTCTAATTTTAATTAAGCAATTTATTTTTTAAAACCCAAATAATTAAACTAAAATGCAACTCGTGCTACATTTTCAAAAAAGGAACTCAAATATTATTACTTATTTAGTAATTTAGTAATATAATTACTAGTAATATGTGACCTTACTCGTTACATAAAGTAATATTATTAACTCAAGTTTCTTGTAATCCGTTACCCCAGCACTGTTTATCACAAAAAAAACATGTCTTTGTTTTCTAAAAATGTTGTTTTTTTTTCAACATTGTGCAGCTTTAACATTCAGCATAAATATATGTTCAACTTAACCTCAAAATACCAGACAAAATCCTTTTAAAAGCATCAAAATTATTAAGTATTGCAAAATAATAATTATAAAAATATTAATAATTATCATTATATAGAACAGTTTTATGTTTATGATTTTCTTTTCTTTTTTTCAGAAAAGCTCTGTATTTTCAAAACTTGTTGTGTGTGGGTTGATTGCCAACAACCTATCCATCGCTGACCCTGAAGACTGCGGCATGTTGGACATCTGCGGCTTTGACTCGCAAGCAGTGGATGTCATCCATAACTTTGCACTCGACATCTTTTAAAAGCTATTGATTTTGTAGCATGGGTTGTAGATTTTCTGAATGACAAAAAGACATTAATGCACCACCCATCAACATGCAAAAAAAAAAAAACATTGTAAGCAGGTAATCATGTTGTATGTTTCTACATTTTGGAATCAAGTCTCCAAGTCTAATTCGATATCCAGCAGGCTGGATTAAGTTGCATTGAAAATCAAGGGGTGCACATTTAAGACTTCATTCAGTATACTGTATATTTTCTAACCTGGTCCTGTGAAATATTTGCTTCTTCCCAAAAAGAGTGTAATCATCTTTTACATGTTTCTTTTTGAAAAGCTCATGCATGTCACTGACCTTCATTGGAAGCAATGTTCTGTATTTTAGAGGCCTTGTTCATTGCGTGTAATATCTTTATGTAATACGATGTTATGAATTATTACATATTGAGCTGAAAGTGCACCATAGGTCTTCCACAAAATCTGAGAGCTGAAATGCATTCGCAGTTTGTCAGTGAAATTGAAATCAAGCAATCTGATTCTCTCAGAAATTGATGTAGCCTAAACTACTAAACTCGTCGGTAAAGTTTTAATGTTGATATACCTCAAGTGTTTTGTGGTCCAGTAACTTGATATATGAGTGAAAATAACCTTTTATATGATTCAAGAGAGACTTCACTGAATATTTTACCGCTTACTCTGGCACATTTTCGAAGTCAATAATGCTACATATGTATGTATTCCAAAATTGAGGAAAAAAAGAGGTATATGTTTGAATAGAGGAAGTTAATAATGGATCTTGCTTCTAGATTCATTTCTGTTCAGCGTTTTTTATGTTTTTTATTTAGCATTTTCTATTGTTCTTTGTGCCTCTTAAGGTCAAATCAAGGTTGTAAGTTTGCTAACGCTGCTAGGATAATAATATCTATGTAATGAATTGTAGGCACAACTAACAAACACTAAAACGTAGACAATGACTGCTTGTTAGTTTTGAGATACAATACTGAATGTACCCTTGTTCTGTTTGTGTAACATTAGATATTATTTAATCGAAACCTTGAAGTATGAGGTAAATAAACGTGACAAATAATGAAATTCTGTGTTCAGATGGTTATTACACGTTGTCAATACAAAATAAAATATATTGCCATGCTAGTAAATTTGTCCCTGTATGTAACTCGATTGCAATCCACTCCAAAGTTTGTCCGTTTATATGTTGGAGTGTAAAACGCTTAATAACACATTACACTACATTTAAATGTAGAAAACTGAAGAGGTTATTCTTTAAAAAAAAAATTAAAATTACGATAATTATTAAAGAATAATCAGAATAATGTATTTGTATTGAGGTGATGTGCTTAATTACTTTATAACATTATGCTATGTCGTTGGGATAGTAAGTTTGTGTACACTAAAATATGAATATAGTTGATGGCTTGACATCGGTACCTGAGGATTTTTGCTTTAGCTGTCTGAGATTTGCCTGAACTGTGCATACGTTTTTGAAAAGCTTAAAAATACATACCTATTGCTCGCCTGTGAATAACCCTTTTGTCGACTCTTTTCATGTCGTTTTCATCGCAGTTGAGGCACAACAATTATGATTAAAGAGCATTTGAGTTGATCATTTTTAGATAGGCACTATTCGAAGCAGCCCCGTTCTGAGAAGTTGTGGGGTCTTAAATAAAACACTCGTAATGAGGAGGCGCGATCATGGCGGACGTGTTGAGTGTTCTTCGCCAGTACAACATCCAGAAAAAGGAGATTGTCGCAAAAGGCGATGAAGTTATTTTCGGGGAATTCTCCTGGCCTAAAAATGTCAAGACCAACTATGTCATCTGGGGGTATGTGCGCGTTTGTTCTGTTGACTTATTCGTGTTGTTTTGAGCCGAGCTGGTTTAGCCGCTAATGCGCTAGTGATGGACTCGTGTGAAGAAACTCGTGTTGTGTACAAATGCTCACGTAAAGATAAATATGTTTCATGTGGAAGAAGGTGCCGATGGATATATGCACATGGTAATAATGCAACTAAGAATTTGGCTGCTCCTTAAAACATTGAGCTGTTTACATGTTCGTCTTTACTGAGGCTGCGCAAGAACTTCTCATTTGTTTGTGTTGCAACGTTGCTTTCTGGAGTGATCTATCCTTAAATCTAATAAAACGTTGACCTGAACATTTACTTGTAATCACGAAATGGTGGCATTTAAGTGACATTAAAGCACTATTTTAGCTGAATTAGCTTGTCGGATGATCCTCATAACCACACTTTGTTGTACCAAACATTTTTCCAAAATATTTACTATAAATAAATATAACAAATGTTAATTTTGTTTAAATAGAAGCTTATTACATCATATGTCATTAGGGAAAAAAACTGTAACGTTAGCCTATTGTAATTTATGAGGCAAATAACAAACTGGCCAGCACATTCAACTTTCCTCAGTTCTTGGTCATTTGAATAATAAAAAAAATTAACAATTTATTAGCCTCTCTTGTAAAAGTGCTTATAGAGGTAAAGTTGGTTTTATATTTACACATTCAGACTTTCCCCTTAATAATATAATTTCATAAAAGTATTGTTTGCCAATTCTAAATAGCGAAATCATATTAGCAGCCAATGACTATCAAAGTACAACACTGTTCACAGTCAAATAAACAGTGTTAATGTTGTTTTCAAGTCATACTTGTAGGTTATTTCAGATCGAATATTCAAAGTGCTGTGGTAAACAATATAGGGAGTGTCACAAGTTGTCATTGAACAAATGTGTGAATATAGCTTTACCTCTATAAAGTGCTTTACACTTTTATTGGTCATGTTTTTTTTTTTCTCCATGAACAAGGTCCAATATTTAGAATAAAAGTTACTTGTCAAAAGTTTTCTCTATTCAAAAACAATTCAGTAGCAGAAAGTTTGCTTTATGTCAGATGTTTTCGTGCACAGCTGGTTTTGGACTCATGAAAAATAATTGTTTGCATTTGTCAAAACTGATTTACTTAAATCACACCAGGATTTCGCTTGCTCTTAAAGCCCTTTTCAATGGGTTATTTTTACTATTTTTGATGACATAGTAGTCGAAATAATACAAATGAGCACCTCTATGGGACAAATTCTGGACATTCTAATGCAACGGTTCCCAACAGGGAGGTCCCCTATTGACCTTATTCTGCGCAGACGAGTGGGCGCTGCCATTTGAATTTTTTTGGCACGAGACTTCCGGTCTCATTCACTTCCATTCATTTTTAGACATTAAAAACTGCTCGTTTCGCTGTTTGATGTTGTAAACTGATATTTCCTTGTTATATTATTCTACTTGGTCTGTATAGTCATGCAAACATTTGTTTGTAGAGCAAGTAGTTTGACCTTTTTTGCTGTTTATTATTCCTTGTCATTTCTCCCATAGGCGACTGAAACGGAAGCTCTAAGACAATCGCGAAAACAGGCGCACTTCCGCATTTTAGAATAAGGTCAATAAGGGGGCCTTGGTAAGCTCTGGGGGCATCACGTCATATTTTAAAAAATAAAATAGCAGTGGATGATTAGTAGAGATCATGTTGCCTTTCATCCCCTTGCCGAACAAATTTTTTTTTTACAAAATTACAAATTTGTCCCTTGGAAAAAAGTCTCACTAATTTGCCTTCAGCAGCTAATACTGGACCCAGGTGAGGAAGCTCCAAACATTTTGGGTCGCAGAGCTAGCAATACTGGAAACATGAAATGCAGGAAATACCAAGATAAGTTACTTGAACTATGGTTTATTCCATTTACTCGAAGCAAAGAGGCCCTGCCCCAGCCATAGTGTATTATCTGAGCCAAAGTTCTTGCTAACAAATGTATGAGACCATTCATCCCCAATACTGTGACAAGCCCAAAGCATTTTTTGATCACAAGGAGCAAAGACTTATGTTTTTTTTTTGTTACAAATGGCCTACTGTTGTTTAGCTTTTATATTTTACATTAGTCTATTATTTGTGCATAAACATATGTAGATATTGTAGTAAACATACCATTTGTTTGAATACATTTTTTGTCACACTTACTGCAAATTAATATGAGCGATAATAATGTGGAGGGGGGGCTTAAATGATTTTCAGAGGGAAAAGGGGGTCTCAGGCAAAGAAGGTTGAGAACCACTGTTCTAATGTACTGTATCATGGTAACTTGCCACCATAAATTTGTTTTGTGTGTGTTTGTTTGTTGTAGTGATAATTTATGTACACAGTCGGGTCAACTGTTCTTCCTCCTTGCATGTTTTTGTGAAGTTGTTGTGTTATTTGTGATAAACAGTGTTTGGGTTAATCATTTCACGATAACCGTTTTCAAGGTATACGATGGTTTGGAAAAGTCAAGATTTTAACTTCATTTAAAGAATTAAGACTGACCTGTTTACTGCTCCAAATAAATGTGTCAAAGGGGACTTGGGTTTTTTTTTTACCCAGACATTTAAAAAAAAACATATTAGAGCAGTAATGACAATACCGTGAAACTTAGAATCTTAAATCGACCCATGCCTAATTGGGGTAACACATTGGTTGTTGCTAGATCAGATATGGTTGTGGCTGGAAGTTAACAGAAGAGATTTAAATTATCTATTAAATTTTCCATTAATTGTATTTGGGTCTACCCCAACCCTACACCTAGAGCTGGGTGATAATTCGATATTGATAATTATCACAATGTATAATTTTTTGATAAAACAATATTTACAGTTCGATAATTGCTTGATAATATTTATGCACTATGCGTAACGCTGTGCAGACATTTTGCAGCCTGTCCTTCCGGATGCTGCACGCAGTATACAAGTTTACAGCCACACAGTGTTAGTTGCACTTAAGGAGTAAGAAAAAATTAAAATAAAAAAAAGGTCAGCCTTGTTGACAAGAAACGCCACTAGACTTGAGTAGTCTTGAGCTACTTAGGTTTTTGCAATCCGACACAAAAACAGCAAACTGCTCAGACGACTCATGCTATCAAAAGCAGGCAACACCACGCACCTGTTTCATCATTTAAAACAATACTTATGAAGGTGCTAAGAAATTACAGACCTAAACAAGTGTTGGTAAACGAGCGCAACTACTCAGCAAAGTTTCATGTCTTCATTTTCAAAAAGCTGTGCCTTA